TCTCTCCTGTCGACTTACTCTTCTCATCAGGGGGCAGGGGTCAACTGCAAAACGATCAGTGGTTCATGTGAGGGTCTCCACTAGACTTGCTAAATCAATCTCAGAGTGATACACACTGTAGTGTAGAGGTTGTCTAAGCACATAACACACTACCAGCTGCAAAGCCAGCCTGGGTAATGCCAGCTGCAGTTTCAAATGCAACTGTACAGGACACAGACGTGAGCTCTGGAAGCAAAATGGGATGATTGGTAGGGTGCACAAATTTACCCAGCATGCCTTTCCAGCTCACACCAACACAAGGTTCTGAGCGTTGAACAAACTGAAAAGTGTGGTAGAGCTTTTATGGGCACTTGGGGCTAAATTCCACCTTCTATTGCATCCACATAGTCACTGAAATCACAGTCACAGATGCACCCGAGAACATATAAGAGGGGGTGGAGGGAAAAATGTGGCTCCATTTTATTCTCATTAGCCACTCTAATCAACTGAGAAGCAAAACACTGGCTAACACCCTGCAGTTCATGTTAAAGGTAATCACCACATCTCTTTCATGGTTATGGACACGGAGGTTTTGTTGTAACAACGCGTGTGTTATTTATTTACTGCAGCATCGGTCCGCACCGTGAAATGCATTATCACGCCACACTCTGACTGACAGCTCTGCTTTCCGGCTGGAGGTTGATGAGGGAATTGCTTGCTTGGGCCAAATCTGCAATGGAGACTCGTCCTCGCTGTTTGATAAACTGAGCCACAGCAGCCATCTCCTCTGGAGTGATATAGATGAACTTTCCTCGGTCATCGATCACGCCTAGAAGACAAACACGACCTGGGGTGAGTACTTCCAAGCTAGCTACATTTCCCAACGGCATTAACGACCCCGCAACTTTAGTCAATTCAGACGACCACATTTACAGTGCACAGACAGTTCCAGAGTTAGGAAGGCAGGGTGGCCCAGCAGAAAGGGGCGCTGGCCTAGGAACAAAACTTGGATTTTATTCCAAACTATCCCACAGTCACGCAGCAGGCCCATGGCAAACACACTTCTGGGCCTCCCTCTGTCTTGTCCCAGGCTATCCCTATGCTTATGCAGCTGCATAGGGCACCTGAAAATTTGAGGCACAGATGGGA